TGAAATATTTTGTAATATGTAATGTGTAAAATGAATAGTTTCTGCTAAGGGATGAAGGAACCAAAACCCAGGGAATTGCTGGAAGTCACTCTTAACTGAATTCAAATGTTTTAAGCCACTGTAGGATGATCCTTCTACGTTGTGAACTAGAATAATTTTATAGGAACATAGTAAAACTTTGTAAAGGTTTTAATTCCTAATTAAGTATGTATGTCAAGTGTTTTTACCCTGCATGTTCTTTCTAGAATTACATCATTTGTCAGACACTAAGGACCTAATTCTAAAACTGTTATATCAGCTGGTTTTTATGTAAGAGTTCCCAAAGAAAATATGCATCCAGGTTTCAAAGCTCTCGGTGTCAAGAATGAAGTTTGGGAGAAGGCTTACAAAGGCAGAAATGCAGAAAAATTATGAAGAAAAATGTTCTATAAAACTAGGACTTCTCAGATTACACTGTTTAACATTTCAACGTATGCAAATTTATGATGTAACATTTAGACTACTTGTGTGAATCTCCACAAAGGAGGATGTATGAGTTTCATAGTCTTTGCAGATCTTAACTGCAGTGTTTCACATGTCTAATTTCTTCCTTTACTTATAAACTGGATTCTTGCCAGCTCTACCAACTCAGATTTATGAGCATATAATATAATAAAAACAAGATATCTGTGAGTTACAAGTTTTAGTAGTTTTTTTAGCCCAAGTGATGTTGTTACTAAATGCAATAAAAAAATGTTATAAATATTACTTTTGGCTCCTGATGATGTGATCTACTGTTGTCTTCCAGACATATTTGGAAATATTTATTCTGAGGTGATAGGTAGATAGGTGCTTTTATCTTCCTGCCTCTAGATCCATTATGAAACAAATTTTAAGTCGACAGACCACCTGAATGTCAGCTAAGTTCTACTGAAAACATAAAGAAGCAGAGGTATAAATTGGCTAGCAGTTACACAACTCAGTGAGGAAAAGGGAAATCTTTATCCACTTAAGTGGGTAATGACTAGACTTTACATTATTTCCACGGAAACTTTATGCATTGTTCCTGTCGAAGCTTGTGGAGCCAAAAAAGAGTTTAGGGAAAAAGAAGACATAAATGATCCTGGATCCGACTAATCTGGGGAACTTAGACTAAGATCTCTGAACTATTGTTTTGGTTTTACTGTTATTTTAAAACCTCTGATAAACTAATGTAAAAAACAGATAGACATCTGAAATCTTAATTCTCTTCCTCTTCTCAGAGTCGCTACTACATTTCACTTAATATTATGCAACAATTGCATTAGTGTCAAGATCTATGGAGAGGCATGAGAAAATTATTTTCCTTGAAGACTTAATATTTATATTTTAAAAAATAAAATTTTCAAAAGAATGAGAAGGGAATCAGAAATGCAGCAAGCTGGCAAAGATTACAGCTCAGGACAGTGGCAAAATGTTGCCTAGCACAGACAGGGATTTGCAGAGCCTCATTCTGACTGGGAAACCAAGGGAAGAAACATGACGCTTTGACCTCATCATATTGCACATTGCATCAGAAGATGCTGAAGAATTCTTCCACTGCTTTTAATTACTAATTCTACACCTGTAGATATCCTTTGGTTTGCATTTATTCTTTTTCTGTTACCTTTCTATCATCAGAGGAATTGTTTCTTGTCTCTTGTAGAACATCAATTATTAAATACCTCTTAGAATCAGCATGTTTGTATTCAATCCATACAATATGTGAAATGAGGTTTTCCCACTGTTTGTCAATAAGTACTAATATACAATGCAAAAAGAGGCCAAGAAATAAGGATTCCCCCCTAAATTACTTTGTGTCAAATTAAGCAAAACTTTTAAACTGATACATAAACACAAACAAAACCTAAGTGGCTTCAAGAATCCCACATGCCTTCCTGCATATAATTTTTTTAGAACAGAGAAGAGAAATTTAACTCACCTTAATTTTTCATGGGCTCAAACACCATATTTACACCATGGTTTTATCCTTAGCAGCCTTTTGCATGCCACTTGTGACACCTGTCTTTCTCCACCTTCTCAGTTAACACCATGATAAAATGTACACCTGCAACAGCTTTCATCCTCCAGCATTTGACTTTTTACCTCTGACTAATATACTTAATTTGTACGTGTTAAAAGAAATAATAACAAAGTTATTTGACAACACTTCAAGTTATTCACTGATGTAAGGACCATGTGCTGCATTGTGTTAGGAAGATTAGGAGAAACAGGTCACCCCACAATATTTTTGTTTTTACAATTAGAACAATAAAAACAATCCGAAGGGAATGTATAAAACTGAAAGTATAAGGTTTTCACTAAAAAGATGAAACTTTTTCCAAATTATTGTGATATAACCAAAGACCTAACCTAAGGAGTTATCATGGGATCAGTCAGGACACACATCCTAGCCTCTCTCAGCCTTCATACTTTTCAACAGTCAAAATACAGGCCTGGCACTTGCTAAGCCTATGCAGGTTTTGATTCTTAGCTTACAAGATGATTGGCCTGCTCCACACAGTTTTAGAAGTTGAAGAATATAATGCAAGATATAACTAAATCCGGGTTTATAATTGTCAAAAAGAAAAGTAACTGAAATTCAGAGTCAAGGTAAAACTGTGAATTGCAAATTATTTTTAGCTACACAGATTTTTGGCAGAAGACAATGAACCAACCATCCAAGCCCTCATTACTTGAATTAAAAAGAATGTGAGCCATTCTCTAGCACACACCAGTCCTGAGAGGGAAAAGTCACAGCAGTTTTATCTGACTCTGAGGGTGCCTTGTGGGCCAGCTGCTCCCCCTGGGAAGATATGAAATGGACTTGTGATTGCTGTCTGGTGTTTAGAAAGCAGCTACACATACCACCATTTACATCAATAATAAATATTTATACTTAAGGTAAAGAGGAAAGGCTCAGATATCATTGTAGTGAGTGCTGTTTAAAACCTTGTATAGGAATAGTCAAAGATTTGTTCATGTCCTTAAACATGCAAATTTTGAGTAGGATCATTGACATCAGTAGGACTACTTGGAGCGTATGAAATTAAGTATATGTGTGTATAAGACCAAGACTTTATTTAGAACAAAGAGCATTATGAGAAAGCTTTCACTGCAGATGCATGGTACTCTTTTGTCAGCAAGAGGGCATGATTTTGGACTCCAAATCTAGTGACATAGCACTTCAGTGATATTAGACTTAGGTTTGGCAGCATTTAAAATTTTGATAGGCCAGAGGTGGAGTAAGATGGAACAGTGTTAACTATGTAATTCCTGTTATGTAGATTAATCCCAAATTAGGAATTTAAAAAAAACCACTAAACCACATTATCCCATACATTACTTATATCTTGCTAGGACCTGTTGAATTCCTTCAGAGGTTTATATTGTATCTACTGAAACATCCACTCAGTAGAAAAAGGATCACTTAGTCAATATATATTTGTAACAATGTAAATAAAATTCTACACCAATACCAATTTTAAAAGTAACAATTAATTAATTAATTAACTAAGAATTTAATGGTTTTTAAAGAGTCTAGTTCAGGATTCTTCCTCATACATTTATTCTAGGCGTAAAAAGTGACATGACCGCTCTCATAATAAGAAAGAAGGTAAATTAGTGTAATAAAAAATAGAGACCAAAACCAGAGTTAGGAAATAAATTTTTCTTCAATAATTTTAGCTTGGTATTATGTAATAAGAGGACTATTATCTTATTTTATCAATCTTATATCCTTTTCTGAAATAAATGCCATGCTATTACACTATCTAGTTCTGTGTTTTCTTTATCAGTATATATTTATTTAGGCATTTTTATAAAATTATATTTTTCAGACAGAGTCTTTAATGCATTCATAAAACACAGTCTTAATAATATTCTATTAAAATAATGTTGTTCACCAATTTATTATTTTAGTCTTATATTGGTATACTGCAGTTGATGTTCAATACTTTGCTGCTGGTGAATAAACAAAACATTATTTTGTGACAGTTTAAAATGACTTTGTTAACTTCAGAATCACCAGACTGATTTTTTAATCATTTTTGTATTTTTATGTCATGAAATAACTTTGCATCTTTCTTTTTATAGCAGTGAGAAGAATAAAAAAACAATTATATTTATGATTCAATGTTTTCTATTAAGATTCTTATTCTATAACAATTTGTATTCTATTATGAATTGGTGTAGATAAAACGTAAACACAAGTTATATATTCAACAAGTTAAATGAAAAGTTGCATATTTTGCTATGCATTGAAATACTTGAATAGTTTCTGCACTGCAAAAATAATACCATTTGTGCAATCCTACACAGTAATGGTAAAGGGCAAAACTGCAAAGTCCTGCCAGCGATGATGTGATTGTGATCAAGGTCACAGCGGGGATGTGACCTTGTACCCACTCATACTTAAGACAGAAGGTATTCTCCTTATATTTGTCATTGAGACACAGGCTCATAAACATGTTCAACTTATATATAACCTTCCTAAAAGCTAAGCCTGAGGAAATGTTGATAATAATACTGTATTATGTCTTCTTGATAAACCACAAATTATCAGTCAGAGTGCAAGTCTCTTTTCTGCCTACAGAGGATGAAATTACATCTCTGATCAGTTTGAGCAATGCCCTAGATATGACATGGTAGAGCAATGACCTCTTCAGTAAAAGAAAATAAAAATAAAATTAAAAAAAAAAAGTCCAAAGTATGGGACTGTCTTTTCCCATACTGACAAATGCGTACTTCTCAACTGGATCTCCATTTTTGTGTTTTGGGTTTTATTCAGCTTCAGAGTAGCACAGAAAAGGGGACAGATGTTTTACTCAAGGCGCTCCATTGCTTAAAGCGTACCTTCAGACTCTCTCAGGACGTTACTATGTTTAGTATGGAAAATATTGAACTTACTGCAATGCTGACCATCTGTGCAAAACAGTTGTGTGTTATATTTTAGTTTCAGGTATTACATCCCCATTTACAAAGACACCTATAAGTATTCTGAGACAAACAACTAAGCCCATGAAAGAAATCTTTAAGACATCAGTTAGTGTCTACTTTTATCTGGTTTAGCCTGGAGAAAAGAATGTTCAGGGGAGACCTCATCGCTCTCTACAGCTACCTGAAAGGAGGTTGTCATGAGGTGAGTGTTGGTCTTTTTCCGAGGTAGCAAGTGATAGGACAGGAGGAAACAGCCTCAAGTTGCAACAGGGGAAATTTAGATTGGATATTAGGAAAAATTTCTCCACTGAAAACATTATCAGGCACTGGAACAGGTTGCCCAGGGAAGCTGTTGAGTCTCCATCCCTGGAGGTGTTTAAAAGATGTGACACTTAGAGACATGGTTTAGTGGTGGACTTGGAAGTGTTAGGTTTACAGTTGGACTTGATAATTTTAAAGTTATTTTCCATCCTAAATGATTCTATGGTTCTACTATTCTATGTTCACTAGAAAAAAAATAACATTGTTACCGCAGGCAGATATCAGTTTCACAGACTACATTGGTCTTGGAAAACTGGTAAAATCTAAAAGAGAATCCTACTGTATTCATATAGTTAGTACTCCCTCCCAGAAAGTCTTGTTTGTTTTGTGATTCATATTTGTCAGATGTGATCTTTCTGGTTTCTTTTCTTCTCATTGAGAAAATGACAAGAGCTGTTTACAGCTATGTTGGCTTTATCTTTTTGTTACATAAAGACTGAAAACATATATTGTAATGGAACAGAAAAATGGTGGAGCTTGAGACAGTCCTTGGCTCCTGATGAAGCTGGCCCTACAAACTTGTGCCAGCACAAGGGAAAGTAATTTCTCCTGCCCAGGTAGGTATTGCTCTTACCATAGACAATCTATGAAAATTAGGATAAGAGACTTGAATATAAATAGAAACTTGAATAAGGGTAAAGGATGTGACTGATATAATTTTAATTTGTTTTGCAGTGGAGGTATGCTTTGGTAACTGGAATGTTTGCAAGGCCAAAGATTTAACCCCCAGGTATATTGCATTTATTGAGACAGACCAGGAAAGATAACAAAAGAAAATGTAGAATTTAAAACAAAAGCCACAAATAAAACAAGGCAATGTATTCCATGATGGAGTGGAGTATTCCAGCTGAAGAAAAGAAACCATTGCAAAAGGCATTAATTTATATTAAGTTGTTCAGCTCTATCCCTGAAATTATCTGTTCAAAATATGAAATTCGAATTATATACTCAAAATACTCATTGGGCAAAGCTCTACACTTCCAGTAATTTGAATACAAATAAAAAAAAGCTGATTTCATCTGTGCAAAGGATATTTATTTGGTCCAAACTAATCACTGTAATTTTTGTTGTCAAAACTGGTAAAGATATCCAAGAAGAAAATAAGAAAATTCACAGAAAGTAGGACATTATATTACTGTTACCCATACAACCATCTTGTAGAGCAATTAACATCTAGCCCAGTGAAGGTCACCATCTGGAGTTCAAACTTATAATTTGACATTCTTGGAAAAATAATATTTATCTTTTTATTTTGTTTTTCTCTGCACAAACGTATGAACTCATATACACAGATCCTTTCTTTTTTGATAGTACAAGGTTCCAAAATGGTAAAAACTCATACAAGTTAATTATTTTTACTAATGAATAGGAGCAGATTAAAACTTTCCATTTTAAAGATAAGAACAATAAAATAAGCTTATTTATTCTCAGGCCTTTTTACATGGTCTCCAATTTAATTTCAATGGAATCTACATATCTTCTCAATTATGTATGAAGGAAAATCAGAAATTTGTTCTAACAGTCAATGGAGCTGGGACGAGTCACAACAATCTCTTAAATTGTCAGTGATGTTGCTTATGGAATAATAACCCTGGGATCGTTCCTCCAAATTTTTCATTACTGAATAGTAGAGCAAGTGGTAACTTGGTATGCTTTCTACAGTAACAAATCCCTTCTTCCTAAGAAAAAGTTGCATTTGTATCATGCATATCTATTAATATTGTATTTATCCTTTGGCTATTTTCTCAAAATCAATTCTAAAGAAAATAATCCCCACAAGTACCACACACTCCTTCACTGTCCCAAAGATGCTGATAGCTTATTCTTGTTTTGTTTATTAGTTCAGCATAAAATAAATAACACATCACATTCTGAATAATGAAAACTCTTGGACTTACATCAACAAAGTGCATTATGCAAAATCAGAGCTTTCCTCATATTCATATGTGCTGAGTACTTTGATTTTGGGGAAGTTTTTAGTTTAAGAGTTAATACTGTTAAACAAAGAAAGTTTAAAGGGCTACTGGGCAATGTAAGTAATACATATTGTACTATGTGCTTCAGATTTTTCTGAGCATTTTTCCTATTCATACATATTTTCAACATATTTTTTAATACTTAGAAACATTAGGAACTGAAGATATTGTGAAGGATATACAGTAAGGATATACTGAAATAAAATAGTAAGAACTTGATTTCAACTGTACTAAGAAATGAATCCCTTATTTAGATGATACTGAAAAATTAAATCTATAGCCCATTTCCAAACATAAGTCATGTTAGCATGGTGTGAATAAAAACAAATAATAATAACAACAAAAAAAAAAAAACATCGACTCTTGTCCTACCTGTACTACTGCTCTTAACACAGATGCTTTAAATTAACATTCAGAAGTTCCAATTCCCTTTTTGGTTAGTATTCCTTTATTTTCAATTTTGTTTCTGCTCCTTGTCCCAGATGAGAATGGTGTGAGTGTATGTAACAATGAAAAAATGCAATCAGGCTAAAATGCAAATTAAAAAGAAGGAAGTCAGTTTTTGAAAGTAGTTAAGAAGTTGTTCATCACAGTTTGGGAGACTAAAGTAGGCCAATGTCCAATATGAGCTAATGATACACATGTACTTAGTTCTGCATGTACGGGGTGGACAAAACTGTCAGATAGCTTGTAGTTGCTCCCATATAAATACCATTAAGACTTCAGGAATAGCTGAAGTGGCCTCAGGAAATTATGGTTTTAAAATATAACTCTACTGTCTCTAGCATTCTTAAGAAGCCATGTTCACCAAGTTTGTGCCAGCTAAAATTTCTTTGCCAGAAGAATTTTCTCCTCTGATTTCTGCTTTAACATCATAATAGGTTCTGAGAAATGTTGTGTTCTAACACTTTCATTCTTCTGATAGACAGTGACATGTTAAGTGCACCATTTGTCCACAAACATGATGAGAACAATTTCCACAAGAATAATGACAAGTTTATCTGCCTCCTCATTCACTTAAAACGGCTAATAATGCCACATACTAGAAACATGGTTTGAATTTACTTTCTTGTAACTCATCCAATATATAGCTTGGCCTGATAAAATAATGAAAAGGCAACTTTTGCTGGTCTTAGCACAGTTAAATTTGGGTGGTCTACATATATCCTAAATACTTAATTCATCTAATTTTAAGCATCTAACATTGTATATTTATTTCTAGAAATAATCAATGTATCTGGACTTTTATTTTTAAAGAATTCCTTAGTGATTTACTCATGTCAAGGAATGAGCCAGAGGCAGGACCTAAAAGGAAATCAATTGTGAAATGTATAGTGAGATGACTTGCTTAGACCCTCTCTCAGTATCACACTAGCTGAATGGTTGCATGCTTTATTTTGCACACACTGTGTAATATTGAACACCACAATGTTAACTATTAGTTGCCTGACTGCTGGAATGGTTTCTCACAAGAACATGGTAAGAAAAAGAAGTGGTAGACTGGCAAAACATTGGAAATTGAACAAAAACTTTGTGTGGTGATCCAAAGGCAAAGTAATAAGGACAGGGTGCATCTTAAACCCTGTCCTTTTTGGATTATGTATTTTGCACTGGATATTTAACATGCCCTTCCACTTGTCATTATAACTTCTTCTAAAGCCAAAGCCCAAACATTTTCTTTTAAAAATTAGGCTGTAATCATTCTTTTTGTTATATACAAAATCATATTATGGACAAAACAGGACACCCCATGTATAGGTAGACAAGAATTAATTGTAAATATCATTTACGTTTTATGCTCTGAATTAATACATAAGAGTTTCATATAGTTAAAACTGTTACATGAAACAAGCTACTGTATCTTCTTTTTTCGCTGACATTAAACTCACCCTTCCAAAGACTCTGGATTTTAAGGTCAGTGGTGGCTGTCTTCTCAAGGAAGAGAAGTGGTCTAACACAGCAAGTCACCAGTGTCCAAAGGTATTTGTCTGAAGGAGTCTAGTACTGGTCATGAGGGCCCCTCCACTACAATCTTGGGTCTGCCTGGATGACTTTTTTACATATTTTCTTAAAACATCCTGTTTCCTTCTCATTAACTGCTGGTTGAACTATGAAAGCTGCAATACAGCCTCTCCCACTCTCCCCTGGCACAACAGAGCTCTTGGTTGTTATGCAGTGACTGCTGGTCTTTTACTATATCTAAAACACAGCTTAAACTAAAACAGTTTAGACAACAGGCATAGACTAAAAATGTCTCAGCCCAAGACAAGTCAGGCAAGTCCTGAAAAACATTGATGTCCAGTGAATGCACAGCCTGTGAGTTGTAGGGTTTTTTATATCTATAGCACTAGACTAGATGTCTAAGAGCCAGATAACAGTGGTTTAGGCTGAGAAATGAGGAGCAAGTGTGTGAGGAGTCCCATCTGCATTATCTGCATTATCTGAAGTTTTTTCACTTGGTGTAAAGCAATTCTGGACTGTCTTTGAGAAGAGAAGATGGGATAAAAAGTTGAGCGAACAAAGGCTGTAATTTAGTGGTTATGACTATCCTCTGGGACCACCTCTGAGGGGTGATTAAGTATTTGAAATATAAAGTGCATAAATAGAAACTCTGGTTTTAAGTCTCCTCATGCAGAGGAGAAATTAACCAAGAATATCTCATGTCATATATGAATGTCCTAAGCACTAAATCCTTATCTAAAGGACATTGACAACTCTCCTGGTCTCCTTCTTCAGGAAAATGGTAGTTAAGTCTGCTTTTTTAATGGTGCTCATTCAATAAATGTATTCTATGAATACCCTTTTGCTGGTGCTTTTCTCAATCCTCTGACCTTGAAATTGAAAAAAGTGAAAAAAAAAAGCTTTTCTGTATTCTTGTGGAAGACAAGTTTGATCTGGAAGGCAG